CGCTGCCTTAATTTTTCCTAACTTCCATGTTCTCAGTTTTCCAGACATTTTTCTGATTTTCCTTAAGATTTCCGTTTAGCGGGCTGGGGAGGGGAGGGGTGAAGGAATGAGCAGGAACAGAAGGTAGAATTGTCACGAATCAACTATTAACTTAAACGGAGACAAATAATACTGTGTAGTACTTTTGCGATGGCATCAAACTAAAAAGGGAGGGGTTGCAAATACAGCGTGCACGAAACGGGAAAGTTCAGAAAAATCAACAGCTGAAAATTTTTTTATCGCAACTCGGAAAAATCCCGTCAAGGCCAGAGACGACCCCATCGACTAATACGACCCCTCTCCAGCGACGATGTACGATCTCCTGATGGGATTCTCCCAACGATGCTCTACCCTGTTCTTGAATGCGACGTAGAGCGTCCAATGAGTTGCAAGGGTTAGACAACGGCATGTCAATCTCTTTACCTCCCAGATGAATCTGCTACCAAGTTACCTGCTCCTGAGGGGTAGAAGGCAGGTAGGGATCAATCGGAAATTTAACCACGGGCCGCATAAGTGTTAAGCGGCCACTTGCCGCTACAACACCTCTACACTATTTTGAAAATACATATCATTTTCGAGAAGTCGAGGAAACCGTTCCGGTTCCAGTGAGTTCATTGATCCGTTTTAGGTGGTATCGTGCGCCAGAAATCATGCTCAACTCCAAAGGCTACACAAAATCCATCGATGTTTGGTCGGTGAGTGATCAATATAAGCCTTTGCTAGTGTTACATACATGCTTATAAGAGACATTTAGGTGGGTTGCATCCTAGCCGAGATGTTGAGTAACCGCCCTCTCTTCCCGGGCAAACACTACCTCGATCAACTAAACCTTATCCTCGCTGTTGTGGGTTCACCTTCACAAGAAGATTTGCAGTGTATCATTAATGACAAGGTTGGCAGTATCATTACATTTTTTACTGAGTTGATTTTCTTGCAAAACGACATACTGAGCAATTTGTTAAAGGCTCGATCCTACCTGATCTCCTTACCGCACAAACCAAAGCAACCGTGGTCCCGCCTCTATCCAGGAGCAGACCCTCGGGCTTTGGATCTTCTCGAGAAGATGCTCACCTTCAATCCACATAACAGGCAAGTTTCTTTTGGCTATAACTGTTATATTTGCTGTGATCCATGTTTCTCTCTTGAGCGAGGTACTGATAGAAGGATATGAGCTTTCTTGCCATAGGTTGAGGTCGCGCGAAGGTCAATGTAGATAGAAAGTTTTTTACGGTAGGGGGATCCGATGGCGTTCAGGAGCCAATTTCAAGGCGTATGTTTGGCAAGCGTCTTTCAAGTATAGCGGTAAAGAATTTAGCGAGGCATTGTCGTATCCGAGCCGCAGCTATTATACCTGTAGATCGTTCGATGTAAGCAGTATTTCGGCGTTTAACAGTTGTATCCTGGTGCGAATGCCGCGCGTGTGACATAGCTTGCAACGGTGCCTTCGCATTGGCACCATAAATCCCATTTGTAGGCGCATTAGTTTGAAGCGAAGTCAGAAAATACGGTTGGGTCAGGAGCAATTTTAAGGCGTATGTTTTGACAAGCGTCTTTCAAGTATAGCGGTAAAGAATTTAGCGAGGCATTGTCGTATCCGAGCCGCAGCTATTATACCTGTAGATCGTTCGATGTAAGCAGTATTTCGGCGTTTAACAGTTGTATCCTGGTGCGAATGCCGCGCGTGTGACATAGCTTGCAACGGTGCCTTCGCATTGGCACCATAAATCCCATTTGTAGGCGCATTAGTTTGAAGCGAAGTCAGAAACGTCCGAAACGCAACATAATCAAATCCTAAATAGAACTGGAGGGTTTTCAAATAAACACAGGCTTTCGAAATGCAAACGATCTTTCTACGAACTTTTTGTAGCTTCCTTTTATACCTTCCCTCGTCACGCTTAGTCCGTGCCTAATCACTACAGCTTATGGTACAACCTGCCACTCCCTACATTAGGGCTGAACAAGCTGAAACTTAGTATCAAAACATCAGGATTTGGCAGTCATCTAGTCTTGTGAAAGGGAGTACAGTATTTCAAGCTTTTCCGACTCTCGTCTAGTGTTCAGCCATTAAATGGAATTTGCCTTAATATCAATGCACGACTCCCATACAAATTTTTCTGGGTAGTCGGTAATATGCGTAACCTTTGTCTCAAAAATATATTGGTAGTTATTGACTGCTGTTACTCCAGTTTCTGGGATTGTGGCAGAGTTGCTGTGATGGCAGAGGGCACGCTTACCACGCGCGCAGTCTGGGTGTCAATTCCCAGGTCGGCTCCCATCCAAGCCACCCGAGCCTTCTGCTCTCCGGGGACGATAAATTGGTGCTAGATTTGTCTGCAAGAACAAGAACACTGGTATCGGCTGGGCCCCCGCAAGTCATTCTATAAATCACATCCCATTCAATAGGCCCCTACGATCCTGAATGGAAGTACATGCGTGTCGCATCCCGAAAAGGAGTTGATCAATGGCGAAGATTTGATCCTTTATCCTTTCTGGTCTGTAAGGTACATCTGTGTATAGGGCGCATCATCGCCTCGAAATTGGTGTATATTTTTTGTGACTTGGAGAACACCGGGTCGCTGTTACCATCGCTTTTGCTTTCATTGTGTTCAGCTGATGTTCAGATAATCTTTCGCCTATGTTTGAGGGTGATTCATCTCATAGTGAGTCATTTTCTTTTCTTGTTCTGACGCACTTCATGTATGAGTCATCGACCTCTCTCAATCATTTGCTTTTATAGATGTTCCTCTAGAACAAGATCGTAGAGGAAATGGATCGGGCATTTCGAAGATGAATGTTGCCAGGTTCTTTACGTAGGAGGGGACGTTATTGAAGTCGCTGAGTAAAAAAATTTTGAGCAACTGTAGCACAAGTTTTTCACGAAAAGCTTTCCTTTAACTAGTTTTCATTTCCATAGTAACACTGAAATGTCTAATGAATAGTGGGTCTAGGTGTTCCATGTACGTTTGTAGGTAGGGAA